GATCATATGGTTCACAAAGCCTGAAACACATACACACGTGCACACACTCACAGAAATCACACATGTTAATTTGAGGGTCCTAAATTTTGCTTAATTGCAAAGGCTAATTATTTCTCAATAAGGGCAGTCAAGTGTAATGGAATCCCAAAATACTCAAAAATCAGAAATTAATTTAAGCATTAAATTTCACCCACTACACCTGGGGAGACTGAGGCTTCACTCATTACTTCAAGCTTCAGAAGTGATGAGCAACAGAGGGAACTGGACCTACAGCTGGATACTTGCCCACAAGTCTCACCATACCGTGTTGTTTCTTTCCTTCAAGGAGGGGGGTCGGGTCAGGATGGCCAGAAGAGCCACACCCCACTCCAGGAGTACAAGTATTCAAATTATTACTCAGTAATAATTTCTTAGAAGGGACCCTTACTCAAGAATTTGGCTCTAAGTCAGATGGATGGGATATCAACATAAAAATAGATGGTATATCAATTCAGGGCCATAATAAAGCAAATTCCAGTGCAGATGTGTACCAAAGGGCCAATTTCTTCATGTACTTACTGCTCTAGACTACATGGACTCTTTAATCGCTGTCTGACTCCCCTGGGGGGGGGGGGGGGCTCCAGTAAAGTAAGATAAAAGCAAATCCAGATACAGTAGTCTTTGGCCTAAGGCTGCAACATGGGGACTTTTTCACTATACTTCAATGTAACTGAGATCTGTGTTCTGTGGTTAGTGTCAGGAACTTCTGGTACTGTAGGCAGTGAACTCATTTGACCTGATGTCTCAGTATATTAAAGCAGGTGGTGAACCCCAGAAAAAAAAAGAAAAGAAAACCTACAGCCATCTGTTTATTGTGTTCTTTTTCTAAAGATACTCAGAGCCTTCAGGCTTTCTATCAATAATTAAAAAGTTAGTAAAATAATTTTAAAAATTGTTCAAAATCTTAGAATGCTTTTAGTAAGATCATTCTACAGAATTGGAGAAGGTATCAAATCTGGACCATTTGTAAACCTATCCAAAGTGTTTATCTATTTTCTTAAATTTCTCATCTCTTCCTTCCTCCCACTATTTGTCCTTTGAGGCATAATTGTTGATTAGGACAATGAGTAGGTACAAATCAGATTTATAGTGTCCTTAGCTCCTATAAAAAGTGTTTAGATAGACTGGAAGATGAAGTATTGGGGAAGGGGGCTAATAGTGTAGACTAAGCCAGGCATGGTGGTGTAGCCAGCACTCAGGAAGCAGAGGAGGGCAGATCTCTGAGCTTGAAGCCAGCCTGGCTTACAGAATGAGTTCCTGGCCAACAAAGGATACACTGAGAAACCGTGTCTCAAAATGCAAAAAACAAACAAATTAACAATAACAAAACTGTAGACTAAAATTTATATAAATATTTATGAATTACCCAAGACTTAGATTTAGCTGTGTTAGCATGAATAACAGATAGTTAGAGAGACACGACTACATTTTAATGATAATGACCAAAATCCTCTGGGTTTGTTTTCTAGTAAGCTTGGCCCATTTATTCTCTCTTAACCTTATAGTGTGAAACAACTTAGAGACACCACCAACAAACATCAATAATATGTATCGCACCAAGTGGTTTATAAAACACACTCCAGTCCCACTGCTCACTTTAACTTCTGTGTATAACAAATCCTTGTGAGAAGGAATCAAGTTAAATTGTACAAAGAAGCCGGGCAGTGGTGGTGCAAGCCTTTTATACCAGCACAGGAGACTGAGGCAGGCGGAACTCTGGTTCAAGGCCAACCTTGTTTAGAATAGCTAGTTCCAGGACAGGCTCCAAAGCTACAGACAAACTCTACCTTGATTGTTTCTACAAAGAAACGATCAGGAAATCCAGGACACTCTTCAGCATGCCAGTGAAATGTAAAACAGGTCTCTATGAGGGCAGAAGAGCCTTAAGAGACACAGCTACCAGATGCAACGTGTATTCCTAAAATTAACCTCATCTGAATGGCATTTTAGAAGAACCAGAGAAATCTGAACATGAACTTATTATTGGCTTTAGGAATAATGTATGGCCATTATTAACTATATAGGAAAATATCTATTTTTTTCTTACAAAGATAAACATAATGAAATGTCTAGTGGTATACAAGATGTTACAATTTCTGTATTATTTCAGCAAAAAAAATCGTCTAAAATAGGTATATGTACTCATAAATGCAATCTAGAAAATCAACTTATCCCTAAGTGAGAACACATAAAGAACAATCAGGGGACTGAAGTCAGCTAGTGCCAGGGACCCCACATCCACATTAGCTCTGTTCAACCAACAGGTCAATTTCTATGCTGGACTCAGTTTATGCTAATAGAATTCTATGGTGGTCACTTTCTGAGGTGGAGAAACTGCCCAGGACAGCTCTCAGCCTACAACAAACATTACAGAAATATACAAATTCACCATTAAGTAATGGGTACACACCTGAAAATTCACAAATATCACTGGGAAAATGTCATGAGAGATAACACAGGCTGTCTCAAGCACATCCATGGAAGTCAACAGTTCCACGCAAAAGACAAATGTCAGTGATCAGGGGCAAACTAGGTTCTTGGCATGACACTAGTAGACACATAACTATCAGATATTGGAGTTTTGACTCTCTGATAGCAAGGCCTCTCTCTAAGCAAAATCGTAATTATAGATGATGGGTAAAGAATGAAAGAGGAAGAAAGGGGAAGAGGTAACATAAAATAAGCATGACAGAGGTTGGCTTGGGCTCAGAGGTAGAGTGCTTGTTGCACATGCAGAAGGTTCTAGGTTCAATCTCCAGTACTAGAAAAGGGAAGGAGAGAGGAAGATGGGGAGAGAGGGAGGGTAGAGAGGAGGGAAGGGAGAAATCATCGAGCATTACTTAGAAACAGGATCTTGTTAGCAAATGAGGGGCAGAAGGGAGTGAAGGGAGAAGCGGAGAATCACAATGAGGGTGGAGGGGTAAACAACAGGAGGATGAGACATAATGAACAGGAACAGGGGAGGGTGGATAAACACAGCAGCAACACAGGGAGACTGATGAAATTTGAAATGGCAAAGGAAACAGAAGGACAGAGGAGGCAGGAAGTAAAAGACAGACAGCTGGTCAAAGGTAGAGGAGGCAGAATTTTGGAATAGACAAGAGATGAATACAGGTTTTCTATTCATGTACTCAACTCACAGAAACTTACACAAAGGGAATGAGGAGGGAGGAAAAAAAGAGGGGAGTAGGGCAGGTGGAAAGGTCCAGAATCTGAATGGCGATGTGGACGAAGGGCTGGGAGGGAAGAACAGACAGTAACAGCACACGCCAGTTGACTGCACACACTGGAGTGCATGTTAAATAGGACAGATGGAATGCTGCTGTCAGTCGAGAATGACATGAGCCAAACTACCAGATAATGTGAAAGTACTTTATTCAAGCAACATTTCTATGGCTGATTTGGACCATAATTTAGTCTTATGCAAATGCCTGGAAAGGCAGAAATGTAACTTCACTGTAAGAAGAATGCACAGCCCTGGGCCTCCCAAGCATGACTGAGTGGCACCACCAATCAGACACTAGGGCCTCTCATTTTGCTCTGATGCTTACTCTGAGCCACTGGGTCACTCTATAATAGGGGCTGGCTTAAGGCTGTGGAATATTTCCTACCCTTTCTTGTGTCTATCCAGACCAAAATGAGAGGGGAATGACATATTTACATAATTAATGTAGACAGAAATGTGACTAGATAACTAAAAAATTCAAAAACAATAACCAAAAATTTTTCCAGATCGTAGTTATCTAGATTGCTAGCTACAAAGATTTTATATTAACCCCACGCTGAACTTCATTTCTGTTATGCACATCTGAAGACAGAATTAACAGATCTCTCTTGGATGCAAATCTTTCCCAGGACACGAGATTGACTGGCAGCTCACACAATAATTTTGGAATGCATTCAAAATTAAAACTCATAGTTTTCCTGCAAAAGAAAACCCACCCATCAAAAATAGTTCTTTGAAAGCAGATAAAGGTCTGAGAATTAGAAATTAGGGAGTCTTATGTTTTGGGAAGCCACGATCAAACACATTTTTATCTGTAATTTCTAATCTATGTATGTGTTCTGTTTCCTAAAGTTAAGATCAGAATTTTAATTTTTTTTAAAAAAAACCTGCAAGATTTTAAGTTGTCTTCACTTGTTTGTTTGTTTGTTTGTTTGTTTTTCCTATTGCTGTAATAAAGACTATGGCCAAATGTAACTTGGGAGGGAAAGGGTTTATTTCATTTTACACATCCAAGTAACAGTCCCTCACTGAAGCAGGAACTCGGAAGCAAGGCCATGAAGGAGCACTGTGTACTGGCTTGCTCTCCAAAGTTTGCTTACCCTGCTTTCTTATAGCAAGCACCATGACTACCATCCCAGGGATGGCACTGCCTACAGTGGCCCAGGTTCTCCCACATCAGCCATTAAGAAAATGCCTCACAGGCGTGCCTACAGTCAGTTGAAGTTCCCAGGCTTGTGTCAAGTTGACCAAAAACAACCACCACCACCACCACCACCACCACATAGATTTGTGGATCACTTGGAGAAAACAGGGTGATAACATCAGATCACTAGGGTTTTCCTTTTGTTTTGTAAGTAAAACACAGTGAAAGAAATACTCTTAGAACTGGGGGTGTAGCTCAAATGGTAGAATACATCCTACCATGCATGAAGTCCTAGGATACGTAATTGTCAGAGTGATACATAACTGTTATCACAGTACTCCAGAGTTGAAGGTAGTACTGGGAGTTCAAAGCCAACCTGGGCTACATGAGACTTGTCTTTACTAGAAATATTCTCCACCTTGGTACCTTATCTAAACTGACAAGTTTGACACTTAAATATTAGCTTAATATCTATATGCCTAGGTTAGATTACCATATGGACAGCACAGACTACATTGTCACAATATCCCAAAACACATTCCCATGTGAAGCAGCAAGCAGATTCTCAGGGCCTGCAGTGCAGATACTCACTATTTAGTCGAGTCGGATAGCTGATATTCTCGTCGTCTGTCATAGCACTCCTGGATTCCAGGATCATTCCACAAGCTCTTTATTGCATCTACATATGGGTTCTCAAAAGCAGACACCTTCTCCACGTCAACCTCTCGGACTAATTGTGCATGAGCCTATTTAAAAGAGGGAAAAACAGCAACTGTTTGAATACTCTTCACATTGCAATACCAAGTCTTTGATTCACACTTCATATTGTGTACAATTCAAGCGATATCATCATAAACTGGTTTTCAGAATAGTTTATAATGTGTCTTTGTTTTTGTTTGTTTTTCTTAATGAGAACCCAACCCAAAACCATCCTTTCTAGATGAAATATGAAGTTCAACCTAATTAGGAGAAACAGGTGCAAAGCTTTTACAGCATGACAACAGGGAGGTCCTGCTAAGAGGCCAGTGTGTTGACTGATTATCATAATTCTCCACTTCATAGTTACTATCCCCTCTACTCTGACAACTTGTTATAGTCAGACACAAGTGATGGAGCTGTGACCATAAAGTTTTCATTTCTTTGGGGCTCAGTACAGAAGGAAAACACAATAAATATTTAATTGCATTTAAAAGTACATATAAATATAATGTGAGTACCTACAAGTCATAGTTTCAAGGCTCTTCCACCCTTACCCACTTTCTCAGAATTATAGTGTAATAGTTAGCATAGAAGTCTTAGTATCTTTTCCCTGTAACATAAAAATTCAACGACAGGCTCAGCATTGTAGTATCACAGTTTACCAGGGTGCTGACAGAATAGAACAGAAACTTAATACTTGCCCACTGTATGAAAACAAGGATGAAAGAAAAGTGGAAATTAACAGTGCTACAAATCAAAACAGCTAACTTCTGGTTCTGACTTTAGTCACACGACCACTTCTTACCTGCAGCAGAAACTACTTTTGCCATTTTAAAACTAATTTTCTTTGTTCATAAGATGAGACAATTGGACCAAGTCAACAGAGATCTCCTCTACACAAGAACAGAATGACTGTAAATATACCATACTGCATAATAAACATTAAGGGATTATGATACTGTCCCTTATTTTAAAGAAAATGTTATGTTTATTTTATATTATGTGTATGGGTGTTTTGACTGCATGCATGCCAGCTGTATCACATGCATGCCTGTTGCTCACAGAGGCTAGAAGAGGGTGTTAATGCCCTGCACTGGAGTTTCAGGCAGCTACGTGTGAGTCACTCCAGGGTCCTCTATAAGAGCAGCAAGTGCTTTCAATTGCAGAGCAATCTCTCCAGTCTCAACACTGTTCATCTTTGGGCATAGCTTTCAGTAAAACAAGGATTTACTATTTTAACCAACAACCAAATGAAATCTGTACAAGAACAAGGAAATGCAGTACGGACTGACTGGGAGACCAAATGAAGTATGGAAGAGAAGAGAGGCTTCTGCCAGATGGAGAAGATGAGGCATGCAGTATCTGAGGAGGAATGTGAACAAAAGGTCAACAGATAAAAATATGTCTCCTTTCAACTGCAAAACCAGATTCATACAAACAAATCTCTATCTAGAAAGCCCTGAGATTTGTTAGCGTCGTAAATCCACAGCTCAGAAGCCATTCTGTAATATCTACAAAAGAGTATCACCTCCAAACACACACCAATCACCACGCTGCCTTTATGCCGAAGAGAATATCTAAGACACTTTTATTACTTCCCAAGCTCAGAATTCTATCCTTGCTGCTTTGGACAATGATTCAAAAATAATCAAGTATAAATTGCACTTATGTAAGTTTGCAACTAAAGTTCTCTAAGTTATTTAAAAGTTTGGTGACATTTTACAAAATATGCAAAGAATTAAAAATTGTTAACATTAATGTTGCATTGTCAATTCAGTCTGTCCCACTATCAACTCAATTCTCATTATTTTTGTAAAAAATATTCTCCACATAGAAATAGTATGTTAGAGTAGAAAGAGAAATTAGAACCTGTATTATATTTATCTAATGTCAAATGTGAAGTAGTAGTAAAAAATTCTAAGTAATGATGATGCTAAATTAAACAATTATTAATTTTAAAAGGCTATTACATCAAGGAACAAAGTTGCCTCTAATAATATAGTAATGTTAAATTAGATTTGACTTCTTCCTTTAGAACACAAAAACAAAATGAGAATGAGTAAGTTAATTATCATGTGAACAAAATGCAAAGTCCAATCTCCTTAAGTCAGAGTTGAACACATTGAGTGGAAATGTTTAAGGATGGATGCTAGCTTTCAGTTCTCAGCAAGCTGGTGGCAAGTTTGAGAAACACACTGGGAGAAGCAGTTAGACACTTTCAGTACCTCTGGCAGAATTCTAGAGAAGACCACAGGGAAACCACAAGATGTGCCAGTACAGTTCAGGTAAATCTTATGTGTTTACATTTCTCTGGTTGCGTCTGCGGAGGGAAAGTGGAAAATGAAGACCAACCACAGTAGGTTTCACTCCACGCACTGAAGGCAAGTGTTCAGATTAAATAAAAAGGTCTCATTGTCAAAGCTGGAAGGATTTTCAGAAAGTCGCTAACACTCAAGAGAGCTTCAGGCTATTCTAGTTCCTACACTCCAGAAGTAGAAAATCAAAAGGTAACTTCTGCATTTACCGAAGGCCTTTAGACACAAATATTGAGCTCTGTTTGATGGGACACCCAAAACAAATGGATACTGGGAATCACAAATAGCAGGAACCTCAATTAGCCCAAGTCTTCAATTCTCAACTGAGGCTCATACCATCCTTCATTTTGTCCCCCTGTTGCTTTTTTTCTGTGGCATTGGAGTCTTTAAAAACAAACAAACAAACAAAAACCACATACACAGAAAGAACAAAAATGTGAACAAAAAATATCCTAGTGACTTCTTGGTTGGTTTGTTTTTTTCGGCTCAAAGGAAGCAGAGTACCATAACAGCTTATGCTACAAATCCACCTCCACTTGATGCCAGCTGAGAATGACCTTGTTCAGGCTGCTAAACATCTTCTAAACCTGTTTCCAGATCTCTGAGGCTCCCACTACATCAGTCTGGAATACTGATGGTACCTGCTACTCTAAAGGTTAACTTACAGAATCCTTCGGGGCCAGGCAGTGGGTGTGAATGGTGGTGGTGGTCAAGAGGCTTACACCTAAAGCTACTAGTGAGTTCAAAGGCCAGCGGAAAGGAAATGCAAGACCAAAGCTATGGCCCATGGCCCATGTATGTATATGAGCTCCTGTGATGTCAGACAAGGCATTCAAGTCTCATTTGATTAAAATGCAAACCATTCTGCAAGTTCACTTATACAGGGTCTTTGAAGTCTCAACATGTGCAAATACCCTGAAGAAAACCAAACATAACTCATTATCAGTCTTTGCCTTCTGATTCCACAGCTGTACAGCTGACCCTGTTGCATACACAATTGCCATGGCATCTTTCTATGAGTATTACTAGGCCACTGACAGAGAAGGCAAAGTCACATTGAGCTACTGCTGGCTAGGGTCATGCCATGAATGACTCATTCACATAGAAGAACCTCTCTATGCATCTGATTCAACTATTGGCTCAGGTGAATACTACTGAAGTCCCCAGCGAAGATTATAGACTTCCTGTGTCAAATCCTTCTGCAGCAACCATGTCCTTCTTAACCTTGGTATTAGGTGGAGACTCTGGAGTCTCTCTGAAAACAGTTCAGGGATCAATAGCAGAAAAAGAAAGAACACTAGCAACAACATGAGATCAAACTGAATTTCCATCATACCTCTTTCAAATACAGCCTTGTTTCCTGGGGTAGGTCACTCAACCTTCCTCACGTCTAGTGTTGTCAGCTACAATGGAACAATTTGCTATTAGGCTATCAGAAAATGAGGTGGTAGTAAAATGCCTGCTACAAGTATTGGAATATTGAGATCTTAGGGGATTCAAAAACTATCATTAACAGTCACTTTTTTCAATAAATATTTGTCTCTCACAGGTCAGTCAATGCACTAATGACTGCTTGAGTAGAGAATTTATGTTATATGTTATATAAAATATTCTGACAAGAAAATATCAGATGAAGTTAATTAAGCAGTCACATACTACTCTACCTATATTAAGACTTTACCAATTAACACATTGACACATGTTTAAATGTCCTTCTCTAACACTGTATTTTCATTTTTTACATTCATTGCTAGAGCAGCGATCAATGACTATCAGGCATGCTGCCTTTCAGGAACCTTCCTTTTGACTTTGCTGTTCTGTAGCCCGGACTTATTTATCAAACATACGGTAGACTGCTTCTTAACTGGAAGAAAGACTATACTTGTACAATTTAAAATATTCATTTACTTTTCTTACCATATCAGTACAATTTTCCAAGTACTTCTGTTTAGTTCGTTGCCTATCCTTTGCCTGTTTTGTGTTTGGCTGTATCATTATCATATCAGTACTGAAGACACAGAGGCCAGATGCTTGCTACAGCACTGAATAACGAACACACGGGCAGCTTCCAAGAGCATGCTATCTGATGCAATTACAAGATTGCAGAAGAAAATGTAGATCTCAAGCCTTAGGGTGGAAGCTGATGATCCTAAACTCTTATTACCTTTCTGGTCATGATGGAATGTCACACTATGGTACATGCATCGCGAACACTACATTCAAAGTGTATACAAAGCCACAGCAATAAAGAAAACAGAAAGAGAAACTCTTAAAGATGTGTACATTCACTAAGGCTTAAAATAATTAGGCTATGGCTATATAGTTGCTTTCAAAGAATATTTGTGGAGCACCAATTACTTGAATCTTAACAACTATCTGACAAATATGTTCTGAAATGAAGGCAGTGCTATTTACGGTCATAACTGAGCACAGATATCTGTGATATGAAACTTCAAAACTCCACTAAAGCCAAGCTTTTGCAAGCTCGGGGCTCAAGACTTGGAGATATTGCAGGCTTCCCAACTTTGTTTGACCACAGAAATTTTTTTTCTCTTCAGTTTGTTGATAGAACCGGGGCACTAGTTAGTGGATCACACTTGGAAAACAAACAGGGACTAGTGAGAAACCCCCAACGATGAAGTGGGAACACTGTACACAAATGAACTCTCTGCTCTGGCACAGAGGTCAGTGCTGCTCCAGGAGCAACGCCTTTGTCATTTCCAAAATCACAT